ATCTCCCTGTGACTTTGGATCCATGTCATCAGGGGATGACTCATAGTGGAATTAAAGTATTTCGTTCCTTTGTTACTCCCAACACTGGCAATTTTTATTTGGCAATTACTTTTTATAAAGTTCTAGTCTGGTTTTTTGAAACTGCACCTCTAAACTGCTGATCAGTACTGTATTGGTCCTTATTGACCATAAAGCACCTTTTGGCTCCATTGATCAGGTCATTCTCAATTGATAGATTAAAGCGGTAGGATGGTGTGTCCTGGAATGACCCTGGATTGGTTCCCCCTGCTTTAGCAGTCCATCTGTAGTTCAGCTTTAATCAGTTTCAAGATATGCAGATTTCCTCATCACTTGAGGCAATATATCAGCCCCTCGGCAGACACAAAAGGCTTTCAACAACTTCTCACATGTTCAGTAGTCCTCACCAACACCTGTAAATAGATTTTGATGTGTAAAATTAGTGGAGTTACCCTTTAAAAGCCCTCCACGCCAATATGTGTGATTTGATATTAAATGTTTTGGCTAGTGCAAGGCCTTTTCCCTACGTCACCCCAAATTCCTTTGCTTTTAGACTGTTTCTTAATCACTGCTAGGAACTCATAACTCCCTGCTGTTGGCCAGGATAGATCTTTTGTTCAAGAGTTCCAGTTAAAATGATGCTACAGGGTCTACAGTAAATATTGCACATTCTTTTTATGCTGTTGTACTGGCTGTATTTTATATGCCTCCCTCTGCCCTATTGCTGGAGATGTCCTACATAAAAAACAATTTGTATTGGCTGACGACAGAATGTTAAAGATAACTGAACTGTTTTGGTTGTCTGACCCTCAGAGGAGCAGCTTAGTGTTAAGGGTACATGGTGACATGAGCAGTATATAACCATGCCAACACAGACCAAAACAACTGTGTCCATACTATGTTTTCTTCCACCCATAACAGGTTTTCTTATCTTTTATTCTGCTCACTATATTATTCTTCATGTTTGCTTTTTAAGTGCTGTGGAAAATTATTTGATGTCACTGAGAAAACAACCTAAATCAGCCTTTTACCTGGCCTTGACATTTTTCTAGAACTTTACAGAATTGGCTGTCCTGCTCAACAAACAAACCTACTTAACGCATACTAAATATTGATCTTATGGGACAAATGACACAGTGAGGCCTGATGCCCCATTTTCAAAATCACTTACCAGACAGGTTTTTTGGGGGGTGGGTGGGTGGGGGATATGGTGCATTTGTAGTGTTGTTAAAAAGATTCCCACACACACAACACTTGTACATCAAACTCATTGCTCCCTGCAGACCTTCTACAGAGTAAGAGTCCTTTATTCAAATGTTAAAATAATTGGACATTTTCTTACTTAAGCACCTCCCCTGTGCAGCTGAATTCCACAGATGTCACGCTGCACAGCTGAAGGCACTGATTACATAGTTACTTATAGTCCAAATGAAAACAAAGTACATTTAAACTGGAAAATATATTCATATTCATACCAGGCCAATATCTAATATCAATATCTAAAATGTTAAATATACAGTAGCTCAGAGCACCAGGGGAGTGTTTGTATCAGCACAGGAGTTTGGACTGCCAGGAAGTGGAGGTTTTCAGGCCTGGGGTGGGGGAAATGGAGATGGGGAGCTGGAATGGGCACCAGAATTGGAGCCAGGCGAGCAGGCAACATAGCCAGAGTCAGCAGAGACAGAGCATGGGAGAGGTAAAGAGACCGAAATGAGGATGTTGTTGGAGAAAGCTAAGAAGAGAAAAGGAAAAAATTACCAAAACTAAATCTCGAACTGGCCTTTAGTTCTTTCCTACGAGCTTTGTGAAATAAAAGGCTGCAAGACAGATGCTGAGCTGGCCTTTTGCTGTTTGACTAGTAAGTAATATTAGCTAGCTTACTATGTCTTGTGTTGCTGGATTTGATGTTTGGCTGTGTTGGCAAAGTTGTCGACTAGTTAACTTTTCAATCATAAGTAGTCATAACAAATGCATCAGTACAGCTGTCCGTAATAAGTGAATTGCACTCTGCAACTGGGAGCGTCAAATCTTAAAAAAACACTGAATCCTACATAATATTGCTTTAAAGCTGCAAAATCATGTCAGTATATGAACTAAGTAAAAAAAAAAGAAGCAGTAGAATCTGAAAAAAATTTAAAGTTTCTGCTCACACGATATAAGTGTTTGATGCAGCTTATTGATGACTGGAAATGTGAAAGAAATGTAGACTTTGACTGAAGTACATCGACTGAGCTTTTTCTGTTTAATAATCTAATTGAGGTGGATCTCTTTTTTTCTTTTTACATTTTTGTATTTGTTTGGACAAAATTTTTTTTTTTGCGGGATTACCTAATTATCAACCGTGTGACAACTGCTGTTATATCTCCAGAACATGAAATTGATTGCCTTGCACTGTTGAGTTTATTTGTTTCACAACTCATGCAGTAGCAGCAGTAGAATCCCTGTCAAAGGTAAAACATGAAATGGAGAAAAAACAGTAAAAACATGTATCTGAAAATACCAATACAGAAAACACAGACTGCAGAGAAGTGGGTACTTGCAGCAATAACAAGGCGTAACTCACTTTTAAGGTGTCAACAAAAGATAATTTACAATGACATTTATGCATTTTTGATAGGACACAAAAGGAATATGCTGTGTCAGTTAAAGTGCCACTGAAAAGAGCTGCTTAGCCTTGTGTGCGCTTTGAGGGATTTATGGTGTGATATGTTGTCAGGAGTCATATGAGCTGCTCATGAGCATCTTCATGATTTGATCTGAACAGAAAGGGAAAATTGACAGCAAATGTTTTGGATCTTATCTCAAAGTAAAGTAAGCAAAGTAGATGGAAAATGATTGATGTGTAACTGCATTCACTCACAAGACACTCAACTGACTACTGGAATGTTTTTTTTATCGACAAAGCGATGAAACGTTAAATTCTCTTTACTGGGGAAGAGGGGAAGTTTGGTTGTTACAGCATCACAATAATAGAAATAAGTACAGATCCGTGCTGTCACTTGAGGATGGTCTAGACAGACTCTAGAAATCTGCTTTGCCACAGTGTCAAGCTGTTAAGCAGGAGACAGGGACATTTTCATTGCCTCATCATGGGAGCCACACTTGGCATCAGTGGGTTATACACATAAGATTATTTGCCACTGACCAAACACTCTAACAACACTGCTATCTTACAGATTTAAAAATTTGACATTAAAACCTGTTACCCTCCATTCGCACTACTTACCTGAGCAGCGCTTAACAGTTAACGGTTGCATGGTGTTTACACCGATGGCTGCGTAGCCATATGTTAACATATGAATGGATTCTGTCCACAGAAAGGTTAGAGAGCTTTTGTGCCTAGCACCAAACAGCAGACATGCTCATGGTTCTTGATTTTGCCTATAAAGACACACACACACACACACACACACACACACACACACACACACACACACACACACACACACATATATATATATATATATATATTATGTAGCCTATATAGACTTTGCTTTGTAGCCTTGACACGGTGTCTCACTGGCCAATAAAACTTAAATACGACTTTCCATAAAACCATAATTACTGGGAAAACAGCAAACTTACATTGTCTCCTGGTGTCATTACTGCAATAAAACATATGTTACATAAAACTGAAGCACTGACTGTCAGCAGTAGGTCATAACAAGTGCCAAATACCGTCAGTGTGTGTCCTTGTTAGGAGGACACATTCCTCTAACACTCCCACTGTTACATGAACAGCAATATGGAAAAGGTGCAGATAACGGGCCCTCCAGTCAGACTCAAAGCTACTGTCTAAGTTTATATGACAGGAGAAAAACCGTCAAAAAATATGTCCTGTGCTTTTTCCCAGTTCATACCTTGTTTTAGCTGGTGTATTGTGGTGCTATCTAACTTTCTATATCATATATATGTAAAAAATCTGTGCTGTTGTCTTTTAGCATTAACATTCAGGTAAGCTTCAAAAAAAGTTAAAATTTAGTTAAAAATGTTCCTTTGGAATGAGATAATTCTGCAAGTAAATACTTTAGTAAGTAAGTAAAGAAAATCACTCAACTAGTTAGAAGGAATACGAAACAAGATTTTAAGTGTCTTCTTTTAATGTTTTTGTCATGGTTATTTCTAATAATGAGGGAAATGATTTTTACATAACCTGCAGACGGCTTATCTGAAAGATAACGCTGGGAAAACAACCTTGTGACCAACGACTGGATACAATTCAAAGGTTGTGTTTTTATATTTACAGTGACACTGGCTGATGACGCTCAGAAAAATCCAGAACATGTAACTCATCAGTACCATAAATCCACAAATGCTTGCTTGGATATTTGCACACATTCATTCTATGTGACTGACTCAGCTGTAATTTCTAAAATTGTGAAAATCTCAGCATGCGATGAAGTAATATTTGACTCACTGCTCCAGATTCCTAACAACTCCCTAAATAGTAATTTTGTGTTCATGGTAAATGGTTCTAAATATACCTTTTGCACATTTAAGGTTGCAATACATATACAGTATACGTGTGATAGCTCAGGATATAGCAGACACATTTCACATGCACGTATGCAGCTGTAAAGGTTGGCATCAGTGGAACATTGTGGCTACTTGTGAAAACAGAACCACATGGTCTCATTTTCAAGGACTCTTTAAAAAAAAAACACAGCTGACCTTATTCACACGGTGGAGAGCAAGGTTGGAAACTATACCTGGAAGATATTACCTGGAACCTTTTCAGCAAAGCTGTGTTTCAGGACAACTATAACTGATTCAATTTAGCGGGGAAGTTAGTTACTGTAGCTGCTATTCATGGCCAGCCTGGACTCTGGTTGATACCACATCAATTCGATTATAGTAAAAACTGGATTCCTGAGATGCACCATGATTTGGCAGAGAATCTAGGGCTATGTGTACTGTTTCAAGATTCCCATAAGGCCAGACGGCTGTATATGAAGAAGATAAAAAGTGAGGTGAAAGGTGATGATGATTCAAGAGGCCTATGTGTGGAGCAGGTCCACAAACATTACTGGATTTATTTATTTCATATTAAAAACGATATGCACGATCACTTATAGGAAACAGATGAAACAAGATAAACCACAGTGCACCAAATGACTGATGACACACTAATAACGTGGGCGTGTAGGACCATTTGTGGGGACAGAGTTATGTAACAGATGACCCACATGACCTGTTTGTCTTTTCAGGTCTCTGTGCCAAAGCTCTGGATCAGCTGTGTTGCTCTCAGAAATGATCAGATGAAGCAATGTAGGTGAAAGAGGGAGCCAGTGCTGGTAAGAAACATAAACCAGTCAGCAACATATCCACCTTACTGGATATACATCACAGTAATATGTAAAATGCAGTAACAAAATCAAGTTTACATCACCAGAAGTCATGTATAATAGCCGGACAACCCGTTGTACAAATCAGTTTTCTAGCATAATTTATGTAGGCTGAACAGGACCACGAATAGATCCCTGGGGAGCTACTTACACAGTAAGTAACAACACACACAGAGATCCGTTAGAAAGGTAATTCTACACCATCTGCAAGCTACTGAGTCATCATAACCAATGGTTTAAAGTCTTTTAAAGGAAAAAGAATAGCATAATCAGCTGTCTCAAACGCTTTGGACAAGGGCTGTTACAAAGTCAGCGATTACAAAAACAGCAAAGATGTACTCTGTACCTACTATGGCCCAAATTGAAAAAAGATACAATGTGTAACATTTCCACATTAAAATGTCTATAAACCTATGTTTTATTATTCATGCCTTGCTTTTATAAAATAATTTAAAGCAAGAATTTCAACAAAACTTTATGTTGGTGACTTCTACTCTAATACACGGACAACAACCGCAAGGAACTAAGACTATGGTTGTCACTGGAACATCGGCATCTATTTCTTACGATTTACAACTGCACACATTTCATCTGGCAAACAAGCTAAAACATAAACACTTGTGAATCTAATAGACTCAAAGAGAAACTCTGAAGGGCCGAATGATTTGCTTAACATGGCACCAACAGCTCTTGATTATCTGCCACAGGTTTTAAAACACTGACCTTTTTAACCTGGTTTATCTTTAACATGCAGGTCTTGCAGAAATAACTGCTTGTTTGAGACTAATGGCATCCTGTCGCAGCAGGTCTGAGCTGCAGTGGAAACACATTTTCTAACAGTTACACAATAGGAAATGAAGCAAATGATGACCAGAACAGAGAAAGTAAAGTAAATTATATGACTAAGATATAAGATAATATGAGCTTTAGAATAAACATAAATAAAATTACTTTGTGAAGGCATTTAAGTTTGTGCTGACACGGAAAGATCAGATTGTCATCACTGTGAGAACCTGACTCAGCCTCGTGAAAGCATAAATTAGATGAGCTATTTGCAGATCGCCATGCTGCAGCGCATTAAATAAAACGAATTGAGAAGGAGAGCTTGCATATGCATTTGTATGTATCTGTATGTGTGTTCCCTTTATATTGTGATAACTGTTTCCTCCTGCGGGCTCTTTAGCAACTCTGGTTTGCTCTATCTGAGTTTGTTCTCTGTAGCAAAGCAGCCAATATTCAGTTTGAAAGCTGGAGTTTGCTGCCAATTTAAAGTGCAAATGAAAAATCTGAATTTGATATTCGAAAAAAACCACCAAATACAAATGTTCTTTTGCATTTCAACTTTTTAATAGATTTTTTTTTTAGCATTATTGTGGTTTCTCAACAAAGGGTCATATAGAAGACTTGTGCCACTTTAATTTTGGTGTGCTAGCGGCCCTGCATCGAGCATAAAAAAACGTAAAGAGCCGTGTAAAGGATTTGGTGGCCAGCACTGACTGATTTTTGCTCATGTCTGTATTGGAGTGTGTAGGAGAAACAATGGTAGCTATGAAACTCACTCCGGTCTGGGCTACTGTAGAAACATGGCGGTGCAACATGATGGACTCCATAGAAGATGGCCCGTGGCGTCTGTGGCTAAAAATGGCTACTTCTAAGGTATTGAACAACAATTCCACATATTTAGGTGATTATACACTTATTAAAACATGCCTATATTCAATTTCTCCCAATATATCCTCCTAAATATTACACATTGGAATTTAACAGGTTGCTTTGCAAGCTCCCATTATTGTTGTATATAGTTAGGTTGAGATTTGGTGACTGTGAAGGCCATACCAAATAATTTGCACGTTCCTACTTTCATACTAAACATATTATTCAGTGAGCTCCGGCATAGATATAAGCAGACCTGTCTGGATGTCACATGAGTGGAAATTAGGTTTCTAGTCATAAGATGAAGACTACAGGTCTTCTTCATAGAACAAATTGTTGAGACTGTTCATAATTCAATAAAAATAAAAACACATGATCCAGTTTAAAGAAGCACCAGCTTCTTATGATTAAAAAAGACAGATATCATTTTATTCTTCAGATAAGGATGTCTTACTTCGGAACTTCACCATACAAATGTTTGCTGCTACAGACTTCTTGCATCACCGATTTCCTCAGCATGCCTTTCTGGAGAGCTTGTGAGAAGTCTGAAGATATGCAGAAAGAAATCAAGGCCCAGTTTTAAAATGCAAACAACGCACAATGAACCTGAGAGGCAGGAGTCAGCAATCCAGGCGTTTTTATTTAAATGTTTCCAAATAGATTATTTAAAGTTTGTATTTTGTTGCTCCTCCTCTTACATCATCATTTACCAGAATTTTCCTCACAGGAGCTCATTTGAGTCCTCTGTAATTGAAAAAAATGTGGTTTGTAATATCCCTGAAACCAAAATACACTGTTTTCGTGTACATCATTGGTCAGAGTGAAACAGACTAGGACTATTATTGTTCTGTTGAAGAGCAGCGATGACCTCTTGGGGCTGCTATTGTTGATTACACCTACATTACACCAAGCTCACACTTTATTTTTTTTTATGTTTATTACAATCTAACATGAGATCCATCCTTAAATCAAAACACCATTCCAACAATATGAGACAAAAACAATCTTTAAAATTACATGAGTAGTTTGGTTGTTTTGGTATATATTTGGTGTCAAAAAGCATGCTCTTAATCTGTTCACTGCACTACATCCTCTGGCTCAAAATGGATAATTATAGTGAATTCAATAAAGTATTTTATTTAATTTCTAGTTTGTCTTATTTAGACATGTGATGGCCTGCTGCACAAAAAAATGACAAGCAGCACTTATGATTTTTGGCCACTTGATTTACATATTTATTCAAAAATAAGTACAAAAATCTAAATTCAACAAACCCCTTTCTTTTGTATCCATACAATACAATAAAAAAACTATACATGTATATATTTTCCCCTACACATTGTTTTGCTTCTACCTTTGATGAGTGTGTGTGTGGCAGATCACCAGCAGATGGAGTGAGAGATTAGTGTTTAACATATCCATCATGCCTTTATCAACTTGACTATTTTGGTTTGCAGTGAGCCTTAAACACAAGTAACAATGCAAAGCATGAGCAGCCATGCCTAAACTTCATGTTTCACACACTCATTTTCTTTGTCTCTTGGCGATTTTGTCCTGAAGACACTTGGAGACTTCTTCTCAGAGAGCTTTTGAGGCAACAGGTTGGTGTAAGAGTGATCGTCTTCTTCTATGTCGGCCAAAGTCCTGATGCCAGAACTGCTTCCTATAAGTCATCTCCTCAGGATGCTCTCTGCAGAAATGGGCTGAATGACCACAACTCAGGGTCTGTGCACAAATGCCTGCACATGTCTGTGTGTAAATAAATGTGTGTGTATGAAATGCTACGTGTTTTTTATTATGCAGTTTCTATTTCTATTATGCATGTTTGGATTTATTTATTTTGATTTATTAATTTAGACCTTTTTGGCTCTTTCTTTCTTTTTCTTTTTTTGTTTTCCTAAATATCTTTGTGTGTATAACATGCTTGTTTTGAGGGTGTGTGTGTGTGTGTGTGTGCAGGTGTGTGCACACATTTTCACACCTCTGTTTTCACTGTATGACCAAAACATTTTCCGAATACCAAACCATTTGGAGGAAGTCACTCAAACAGGCATCTGCAACTGATGTGTGTTTGTGTGTGGGTGTGTGGGTTTGGGGGAGTGGACCCTGCATGGTGAAGGTAGTGAAAGATAAAGAATAAAAAAAAGAAACAAAGAGGGAAGGCAGCTTGTGCAACATGTGATGGAAACCTTATCCTGGGCCGAAGACAGATCAACAAAAGAGAGCGGTGGAAAAAAGGAAGATGGAAGTGAAAAAACGAGGTAGCCTTCCGACCGCTTGTGTCTTTCTCTCCTTCCTTCATACCTCCTCTGTCTTTGTCTCTCTGGCCATTTAACATCTCCTGTTTTTGTCTGCTTCTTCTCTTCCTTCCTCTTTTTCTTTTTATATGTACATCTCATGCTCTCTTTCTCTTTTCCTTTCCCTCCCTCTTCTCTTTTCTTCTTCTCCCTCCTCTCTTGACTCCCTCTCAGTGACCGCTGACCTCCGTGACATAGTTTTCCTAAAACTCTCGCCGGTCTGAAAACAGAGAAGCAATGTCTTGGATTCTATTGGCTAAGCGAGGTCACATTCTTTCATACATACATGAAATGGGTTCAATACAGATACAGAGGAACATTAAGCCTTTATTCTGTATAGTATTTAATGTCATATACCTTTTGGAATACATGAGGCTGGCCTCTTTCATCTGGTATTTTGAGCTTCTTCAGAAGACAAAATGTTTCTATGATGTGTTTGATGAAGTGGTTTGTGATTTAAGTAAGCAAGTAAGTAAAGCTTTATTTATATAGCACCTTTTTGACACAGATATCAAACAAACAACAAATATACATATGGTATAACCATACCCAATCAAACAAACATATGTAAGATAAAACAAGAGGGAAGGATAAATTAAAAGAGTGATGACAGATGAGAAAACAGCCTTATATGTAATCAGTAAGATCTTATAGTTGATTCTGAATTTTAACGGAAGCCAATGAATGGATGCGAGAACAGGAGTAATGTTGGAGCAACGGTTGGTTGTGGTTAAAAGTCTGGCGGCTGCATTTTGTACTAACTGTAAACGATTTAACGAAGCTTGTCTGAGGCACATTTAGAGGGAGTTACAGCAATCTAGACGGGAGAAAATGAAGCTGTGAATTAATTGTTCAAGATCACTGGAGGACAGGACATTTTTGCTATATTTTGTAGCTGCAGGAAACAGGACTGGACGGTCTGGAAGTTTTGTAACATGAAGGTCAAATGTCATAATTATGCTATAATATACTCCAATAATGCAATAAGTTTTATAGGAGGCTGATTTCTTGCACACGTTTAAAAAAACAAAAGCTTCACACTTTTCTCTGTGAGGCTGACAGTGCTTATATGCTGATGTTTAGCATGTAATCGTAAGGTAATATTTACAGTGTTCATCTTTGTTCTTTATCTCTGTTGCTTGTTAGCATGCCAACGTTTGCTAATTAGCACTAAACACAAAGTGCAGGCGAGGAAATTGGGAATGTCATTAGTTTTACAACTCAGTCAGAGGATCAGCAAAGTTCAAAATTCAACCCGAGGAGGCCATGAGGCATTTTACTCAAAATAACAAATGTCAATCTCACAATGGAGCTAGGACAAAGGTCGGGGCATCACCAAAATCAACGATTCATCATCAGGGAGCCATGAATGTCTGTATAAGACTTCATGGCAATCTGCTGAATAATGGATGAGATATTTCAGTCTGGACCAAAGTGGTGAGCCGACCAACTTACCCCCACAGAGGCTTGTAGTTTGGGTGGCAAAAAACGTTTTATAAAAATGTGTCAGATACTGATCAAATAGTAAAACTGTACTGCCTACTGGTTTGTCACTATTCTAACCAGACAAAAACACATCTTATCCACAAAAGCCCCATGCAGGACTCATGTAGTAAAAGTATTTCTATAATCGTGGATCTGATAGGATTGCTGTTTTTCTGCCCTAACATGATCCCAAAGGAGTAAAAGGACATGCACAGGGATGTTTCTCTTCCTGAGTTATGGATCTATCTAATTAGCCATTGTACCAGATGTACATGAGGCAATATTCAGACAATAATCCTTTTAGTTTCTTTGATCATGCTATTCGTCAGCTGCTTTAAGGATTCAGGTGAAGCTCCCCACCCAGGAAGCCCAGCATGACCCTAACCTAAAAGGAGCCAAATCCTCATGAAATCGTCACTAGAAGGTAAACACACACATATAATCTGGGCCCCCATGGATTCAGGGCCCCATTGCTCCGGATAAGGGGAGCCCCAAACTCTGCAGGACAGGAGAGGGTGTTGAGGAGGAACAACACCCGCTGGCAGGTTGGAGGGGCCCCGCTGATTGATGTGCGTGTGAAACCAGCCGGGCCAAATATTGCGCAGTGCTGAGTTTATTGTGCGGTGCGTCTCAGCTGCAGATTCATGCGTCTGCGCCCCGCCTGGCTGACTCTCATCTGAACATACGGTAAATTTAACTCCCGTCAAAACAAAGTTAAAAGGCAAACTTTGAATGGTGGGCTGACAAGTTGCCCTTTCTACTTTCTTTGGAATAAAAAAAAACACTATTATGCTGCTCCTATGGAGACAGACTAACTCTATAGGGAGTAACACCATATATTTTGTTTTATATATATTATATATAATCAGATTTCCAGACCTTCATGTTTACAATAAAAATCGTATATTACTAATAAAGCATATGTAACTGTCATGGATGCGGGAATTAGTGGTGCTGAGGGGCATCACCTAATAAAAATTTAAGTAAAAATCTAAGTAACCAAAAACGTCATAGTTCAATCCAGCCAGCTAGAGCTAGTACATAAGGTAACCGCAATTGCTGCCACTGTACAGTGAGAAATATAGACCATTAGCACAGCAGGATGTGTGATTTGGTTATAGATCTAAATCATTAAATATATTGAGTTATTTGAGTTTCTTTCAGGACCCCCAACTCTGACTGACTTCCAGCATCTCTCATAACTGTAGCCTAAAGTCAGATAGTCAATCTCACCTTCTTTACCACATTTTTGACACAGCTTAAAAACATTACCATCCAACATACATGCCAAGTCTTGATCATCTGCACATCAGAGGATGTTAAGGTTTTCAGCCATTTCATGAAAAATTCATAGCAATGATATAGTTGTAACATAACAATTTTCTTTTAATGTACAAAATGTTTTGCAGGTAAAAACTAAGATTACATTTTAACACTTGATCTTACTTTTAAAGAATCAACAACTTCTGAAGTTTCTATTCCCATTGGAACTCCTTTAGTATATTTCTAAAATAAATAAATAAATGAATCAAATCAAATTAAATTAAATACAGTATTGGAAGTTGCAAGTTCATTTATTAAGCAGCTACAAGGAACTTTCATGTTGTGTTGATTCTAGTGCCCCTAGTGGACAAGAGTGGAAGTGTTTCTATTGTCTCGTTTCATTGATTTTCAAGACCGAATCCAACCTGGTTTCAGGCATGAACGGCACTGAGAACTACTAAATAGAAGCAGTCCTCTTTTTGCTGATGGTCTTGTTTTTTTATGTAGGTCATATAGAGCGATCAGTAATAAATTGAGACTGTTTCATAAACAGTTCAAAACTCCTTATGGTACATTAAAGTACAAGTAATACTGCCACTGTGCAAAAGTACTCTTTTTCTATTAAAAGGAAGTATTATCAGCAAAATGTACTCCAGGTATCAAAAATACTCTTTCAGAGGCAGAAACACCTTTCAGAGTGTTATATACGTATATTATATTATTGGATTATTATCATTAATTAATGTGTATAAGCAGCATTTTAATGTCTCAGATGGTTGAGGTGGAGCTAATTTTAACTGCTTTATATACTGTTGGTTAATTAAATTTATGAAAATGGATCATATTAAATATTTTGCACACAGAGTTTTAATTTGCGAAGAAACTCAAATTGTAAAATGTAATACACTCCAATGTGGGTAGGTGAAGAATTATCTAAAAGTGAAAAATACTCAAGTAAAGCACAAGAAAAATTGTTACTTTCCACCTGTTTTGTCTCTTCACATCCGAGGTGAAAGTTACAGCACATTCCACCACAGGGCCAGTGTTTCAGTATAATGTGTGTTACTTTGGTGAATTAATTCATCCCGTGCTGTCCATTCACAGCAGGACCATGTGTACTCGCCTATGCACCACCGAGTCCCCCTCCTTGCAGGCGGACATGGCACAGCCTCACAGAGATACACCGACATTACCCATTCACTGCACACTGGCCAACGCAAAACTGCGAGGAGCCAAGTGCACAAGAAAGAAAAGAGGCCTGTTTTTTTTTTTTCAGTCTTTGATTTGTAAATACCTCTGTTGCAGTGCAACAACTTCCAGGCTTGTATCTTATAACCATCAAACATTTACATGAGAAAGTTGACAAAGGCTGAAACAGCGGAGGAGGCCTTGCAACAAAGAGGCCCATTTATAGTGTACAGTCAGGGAGAGACACGGAGAGGGAGGGTGGGAGGAGAAGCTGGGAGGAGAGTTGAATTAATGAATTAAAAATGTCGTGAAACAGCGGCTGTCTGAATACTTTTGGGTTTATATAGAGAGGCGTGCAGGGGGGTCCTGGAGGAGTGGACAGCACAAGCTTCTTTAACTTCTCTCTGTCCCAGCACACAGGACTCCCTCTCAGCTTCACATGCAAGAAGAAGTGCAAGCTGTGCTCATCTGATTACATAATGACCCAGTAACAGTGAGCCAGAACCGGTACTGCCAGTACCAGTGTGCTGGGAGACACCGACTGACCGCTGGTTAATCCTCATCCAGGCCTCTCTTCTGACGGGTTTCAAGTTTTTTCCTTTTTTAAAATCTACGATGACAACAACGTAGGGGGGCTGCAAAAGAAAAATATGCAAACAATGTGATGTCAAAGTGAGAGGTGATTCAAAACATGCTTGAGCTGTCAACAAGTGCGCGTCGTTCAAAACCGTGAAATCTCTCTTCGTTTTTCAATCCTTTTTCCCCCAATTGTAGGCTGTCTGTCTTTTTCACATGTCCGCTGCACAGTGAAAGTAATTAAATCTTCAGGTTTCCAAGCTGTGGTCAAAGTCATCTTCTGTTACAAGTCAACAGAAAGGTAAGAGACACATAAACATTTTAAAATCAATTTCTTATTCTTTCATCAAAAAACCAAAGGATTATTTGATTGAAATAATGTCTGACAGCTTATTTGAATTGTGTTGGTGTGGTTACTGTTATTGACTTACCTACTTAACTGCTATGCAATTGTGTTATGGTCATCTTAGGCCAATTTCAGTGTCATTAAATGCACCCAACTAAAAAGCCCTATAAGTCTGTTTTAGTGAACTAATGCATCTTTTATTACCTTCTTTGTTGTTTTCTAACAGTTCTACACTGTGACACTCCTCTAACATCCGATTATACACTTATTTTTGTCTTTGATATTATTCATATGATATTTACAGGTGCTCAGTCTCGCTGCATGTGTTGTGTTTACAGCGCGGAGGGATATTAGTAGTGTGTACGGAGACGGTTCCACTATCAAATCTGTACTACTACGTCTACTGCTACACCAAGTTATCTGGGTCTGTATAATTACATTGGTAGCATAGATTCCCATGATTGATAAATCTTGTTTGCTTGAAAGTTTCTAACAGTACTCATAGTAGCAGAAATATGGAGGGCTTGTACAAAACACATTGGAAAGAACAAGTGTGATGGTATAGTGGCTCTTCTTGGCTCGGAAACCTTCAGTCAAAACAAATCACAACTTGAGGAATGCTCACCAGCCACCACAGCAGTAGGAGACCAGTCAGATTTGCGGCAGTGAGACAGACATTTAGCTACTACAGACTCGGAAGAAGAAAAAGTCAGTCCTAAATTACAGTTTAGTGGCCAACAGCTGACCTCCACTGTTTAATGTAGGTCAGTGCTGTAACTCTTTGACTACTAATTCTGGGCCGAGGAAGTGCAAGCGAGTGGTTTAGGGAAGTGTTAGATTTAGATGAAGGTTTAGACGGACTGCTCGACACAGACACATTGAGACAAATGTCTGATCACCATGGTTACTGGTTTCACTTACTTCCCTATTGTTAAAGTCAACATGAGGTTAAATAATGTTAACTTATGAATGCAGATGAAACTGACAATGAATGTAAATTAAAGTTGCAGTGGCAGAGAATTATGTTTGTGTATAACTAATGTACTTTATATGAGCAATTCTATATATATAGTATATTATGATATAGGCGTAAGTTTGGGTGTCAGTATGCTTCAACCACAGTGTTTGTTGGATAGTCATACAGCATTAGAAATCCTCTCCCCATACACCTTTCCAACGTCAGAATTGGGGGGTTACATTGTAAATTTTTGTAGCGTTGAGAAAAACAATGCAACAGTTACTCCAACTTCATACAGCCATTAGCTAGGTGTGTGGAGTTGAGAAAGTAGGCAGAAATGATGCTCTCTTTTATTGTTTTGTCACTTTTTTGATTGCGATTCCATGAATGCATTAGAGGAGTGACTGTCGGAAAAGTGTGTTGTTATCCCCATTGGAATGATTACCTCTCTATGATGATTGGCTTTTCATACTGCTTTCAACAGTTGCAGACTGGAAATGCTATAATCACTTCTGTCTTCGTATGTGGTCGGATTGAGACATCCTACAAACTAGTTATTATCAAGCATACCGACACCTTTATGTACCCAAACACTGTAAACAGTTTTTTAATCGGTAATGCATGGTAAAATCATTCATTAAACATCAAGAAAGCCATTCTTTTCAAACTATAAACCTTAACAGTGTACCTAATTGCATAGGGGTAGGATGGTAAGATGCTAGTCTTATAAATAAGTCTCTTATAATGTGTATTATAATACTAACCATAACCCTAACCCTTATAACAAGAATGATCATTGAAGCACAAGTTTTAAAAGACTCCCTAAAAAAACATGTTATTAATAATCCCAAAGTTAATTAACTGTTTTAAGCAACTACAATGGAGTGTAACTGGATGTGTTGTGTCTTTTACGGGTCTATATATGGTCTCATTGAGACTTAATATACTTGTTATACATCTAATTATGTATGCATGTTTTTGTGTGTGGACCACAGGAAGAGTAGCTTCGTTGGTGGCAGCTAATGGGGATCCAAGAATTAAGAATTTGGCATGCAAAGAATTTAGAATACCATCGTTAGGGGCCCTTCCACTGATGCTCATGTAACAGTCTTGGGTCAGAATGATCAAAAGTACAGTATATTTGCATTAACTAGTCAAGTAGCCACAATTATAAAAATGTAGAAGAATGACCACAACTGGTATCAATGGGAGGAAAGTCACTGTGTTCAGGACAGGAATTGGATAAAGATTATATGTATGTTGGTCAGGTTACGTTTTTGGAGTCTTTGTATTTCCAGATATAGAGATTTTATGGTTTTAGCTTAAATTTAAGGCTGCATTAAAGGGGAACTTGGCAACTATTTCAACTTAATAAACCCGTTTAGAAATCATTTGGATGGTTAAATGGCCTGTTCCGGTGAAAATGGTGACTTTCCCCGCTCCCCCTAGCGTCCCCAGGCGGAAAACCAACCTTGCAACTTTGGGACTACCGTCCCGTTAAGTTGGAAATAGGAAGTATCCTGAGAAGCGAGAACGAGCGAGAAACACAAACTGCTTTATGGCAATTCCACATAAACGCACACGCCCCCCTCAATACCGGTTAGCCACGCCAGCTATAAGAACAAGCGACGATGAATGTATTACCCGCCTTGGTAGACATTGCTCCACACCAAAAAGTGCACATCAGCAGCGGTAGAAAGGGGGAGGAGGGTGCTGCAAGTGAGTTTTTTACGACAGTGTTTTGAAATATACGTCCCAGAGCTGTAGGGGGAGCTCGTTGAGAAAACATGCGACGACAAAAGTGAAAACCGGCGAAAAGAAATGGCTAGAGTTGCCAAGTTCCCCTTTAAAGAATATGAATGGGTTTTTACTTCTACCGTTGAACTCTACAGCTCGGCAAGTTAAGAGACAAAACCGGAAATTCTTAATGAGATTGTCTGAAATCATTCACATATAAAGACACATTGGCACAACGGCAGCTCATTTGTATGGCTATGTGCTGTGCTTATACTGGCTCCAGTAAGTTAGTGGTTTTAACGTCTTGTGTTGGCTGAGCAGATGCCTTCTTGGAATGGCCTGTGTTGATATTTAGACAGGGTCTTTCAGTCCTGTGCAGAGGCTGCTGTGGTGGTGAGGCTGACAGTGGTCACATCCATTCAAGTTGTGTTGTATTGAGTCTTTTCAGTGCAGTGTACTGGCTGTTGGGGTTCTTTATGGCTGCGGACACTGGACAGGGGCACTGAGTGGAAGGGATTACTCTCTCCTCTGGAATACTAATGACCATCTTTTGTCACAGATCTGTTTCCTCCACCTTCACTCCACATACCCCTTCCTCTCTCTCCTTCACCATCCATTTCTCAACCTCTTCCTCTTTCACTCCTTTTGTCACCCGAAACCAATTATTCGCTCTCTTTTTCCTCCCCACCTCTGCCCCCTCACGATGTCAAGCACTGCATACTCACACATGATCAAACGCGATCACAAACACACACAACCACACACACGCACTTTGACGCACCGTACCGCTCTCCTCTCTCCGTCTAAGTTGCTCCCTCTTTCACTCACTCGCTCACCCAGTCGTATTTTTCAATGGTGGCTTTTGTCCCTTTCATCTGCTCGAAAACAAAGGATTCTTGTGCGCACAGGACAGAGGGAAGGAGAGGGATGGAGAGCCGGACAGAGAGGAAGAGATCCTAACCTTGAGTGTGGTTGTCAAATGAGTGGAAAAAGTCATTTCACAAGAGAGGGAACCCATCACTATTACTGTCAGCGAGACTGGTACACTTCACAAATATTGTTTTGGCTCTACTAATACTGATATAACTTGCTTTGTACATTTAATTTAAGATAGTGTCAGTAGATAGTGTTATATAAGGATAAAGGTGGTGATGTTTTTCATATCAACAAACCCCCTGAAAAGACCTAAAGCAACAATAAAGACCTAAAATAACAATAAGTTGAACCATCTCATCTCATTCTCACCCTCACTATTGTCCAGAAACAATTAAAAACATAAATGAACTCCAGTTGAACTGGGTGACATGTACCTTCAGTACGTTTACTCTCGCTGCTCTCATCAAACTCGTTTCCAGATCACCCGCTGTACACAACTATCTACCCAACACCAAACGGCAGACAGACACATTTATCACCTACATTACTCTAAAGGGTTGGGGGAGACTAAAAACAGAGCTAAAAAGATGAAGTGAATATTGGACATCCCGTCATCAGACAGACAGACCATTGCCTGTTTACACCTTGTTGACTAAGTATAGTTACATATGGACAGAGTACTACAGAGAGGGTAGGAATGTTGGATAGTATTGAGAGAACTAATGTATTGTTGTTTTTTTGTTTTTTTGTATGAGAAAAATATAAAATAACAACAGCCTTAATCTTGAAATAGTGAATGAATAAATGACTATATGTGCAGTTGCTAGCTGTTATATTGTGCGTAAAGTCCTTGCTTTGCAAACCAAACATTCCTGTGGACAATTAATGGTATTGTATTGTGTTCAAACTGTTCAAAAGGTCTATATGTCCAATACACGAGTGTGTGTTTACTGTATGTGTAGGCAGGAGCTCCGCAGGGTTCAGAGTTCAGCTGGAGATGGACACGGCCAATCACATGGCCCTCCTCTTGACCCCGCCCCCCTCGTCTCTCTCCCCCTCCATATCTTAGTATTCAGAGCACAGACATCAACACAGATCTCTATTCATTCACTCAGTGTGAGCTCCAGCACGGAGAGAGGAGAGGGAAGGGTCAGAAAGGACAGGAAAGGACAGAGCGTATCAGATCGTCTTGGTTCTTAGGCTTTTGTTTGTGTTGTTTTGTTTTTGGTTTTGTTATATTCGCTCCGGAAAGCAGAGGCCGTTTGAGACAAAAGGGCCATTTAGTGAACAGTGAGTGAGAGTGACAGAGAAGGAAAGAAAAAGGGCGGAGAGAAAGGGAAACTGCAGCCCAGATGAGGGTAAAACTGTTAAGAGGTTACAGAGAACAACCCATACAGTGACAATAAGTGGCCATGGCACCCAGGGTTGGGGTGGGGGATGGAGGATGGGGGCTTCTCATTATGTCAATATACTGCTGGCACTTTGAAACCCACAGACACTTATATACTGATCCATCCAACCACATTACACCACGATTCTCTAGCACAGGCATTCACTTGACACGTGTTAAATGACAACAAACACTTGAGTGTGTGAGAATACAACTACACCATCACTCATTCAAGTCAGCCATATTCAACACACACATATGGTCAAACGTATTTGGACACCTCAACATGATATGTGTATATGGTTGATGAACATAAACTACAAGAATAAATATGCTATAATATAGCCTCCACTCTTGAAGGAAAGGTTTATTTTTTTTAAAACTTTTTGGCATTTTTGCTTTGTTTTGGATAGTGACAATAGGGAGAGACAGGAAAGGCACCAGTGAGAGAGGGGGTGATGTGCAGCCCAGGCAACCTTTAAACCTAGGTTGCTGCAGTAAGGACTCAGCCTCTATATATGGTATGCACTCTCCCAGATGGACTACCAGGGCACCCCACAATTAAGGATTTCTCCAAGGTTTAGAAACTCTCCTGCATCAGGGAGGTCGGCTGCTGATGCTGGGTGAAAAGGCCGGTGTTGCAGTTCATTTCAAAGGTGCTGAAAGGGGTTGACATTAAGGGCAATCAAGTTTTTCCACACTGAACTTGGAAAACCTTCTTTATGAACCTTGCTTTGCACATATATTATTGTAATATATCCATGAAAAACAGCCCTATACCAAAAGTACACAAAAGTCAGCAGACAGGAGCGTCACTGACTTTTTGTTCAACTTCTCAAAAAGTAGATCTAGAATAATGCACATCTGCAGCATAATTGAGGTCTATTCCAGTAAAAACAGGCAAAAAAGTGAAGCACAGTATCAAAACTGCTTTCAGCAAAATGGAAGAGGGTGGTCCAGTAGCTTCCTTGATTACAATTTAAAGACTTCTTTTTCTTAATCTTTTTCCTGTAGAATAACAGCCGCCAGTGTCTCCTCATCTCAATTCAGTAGCTGTCTTATGCAACCGACACGTGAATGAGCCTGCACTATCAAGCTTTTAATGTGAAAGAGCAGCTGTGCCTTCATGCTGAAAGGAGGCTTTTATTTTGACAAGGCCAGCTGCCTCCTGTGAAAGGCGAAAAGGGGGCTTAAATGGACCACCGTGGACAGCCACAACACTGTCCAGTTGAAAAATGTTCTTCTAATCCCCTTCTTCTTCTTCTTCTCCGACCAAATGTTCCACTCTGTCATTTTTCTCATTCATGCGGTTATCAAACGCTCTCTGTTTTATCCTTTTTCACACATCATGCACATTTTCATTTGGACTCACCTGCTGTTCACTTGATCTTACTGCCCATACAACCGTACAACCTACAGTACACCCTTGTTTCTCCCCTTCTTACCTCTCTTTGTCTTTTCATGCATACCCTTTTTACCCACCCTTCTTCTTCTTCTTCTTGTCTCCTATTTCCGTCTCCAACTCCCTGTAGCGCCAGCCATGACCTCAGCCACTCCCCCCTCCTCTGAAGGCTCCTCCCCTCAGAAGGTATGCCACTCCCAGACGCAGACTGACATCACCAAGCCCCTGCTGGGCTCCACAGGGGGGACTGGAGGTGCTGGTGCAGGTGGAGGAGGAACAGGAGCGGTAGGGCCCAGTGCTCTGCGAAGGAGGCGCCGTGTCCTCTCCAAAGATGGACGTAGCAATGTACGCATCGAGCACATAAGCGGGCGAGGTGCGCTATACCTCCGTGACCTCTGGACGACTTTCCTGGACATGCAATGGCGCTACAAGTTCTTTCTCTTCTCTGCCACCTTTGCTGGAACCTGGTTCCTGTTTGGAGTGCTTTGGTACCTGGTGGCAATGGTGCATGGAGATCTGCTGGGTAAGAAGGACGGAGGATGGATGGTAGAGCTTTATAGTGCAGAATCAGAGGAGAGAAGAAATGAAAATAATAATAATGAAAAAATAAAAGCAGGAAAGACCTTTTGCCCCCTTAAGTAATGATGATCTGTAATTGACAGAAGCATCAAAGAGATGGCAATATATCTCCAACACCACACCTCGCTTTGGCTTTGAGCCATGCTAACAACATTGATTCAGGGGTGTCCACACTGAAATATCTCAAGAAAATACTGGATGGATTGCTTGCCATGAATCTTTTAACATACATTAGTAATCCCCAGAGGATGACGCCAATATGACTTTGGTGATCCCTTGACTTTTCTTTAAATGGTGGCATGTAATTGACATTTACGTTTTAAGTGAAACGTCCCAACAACAAACTAGTAGAAGCATTCATGTTCCCCCAAGATGAACTGTAATAACTTTGGTTGACTTTTCATCTGGCACCATCTTCAACTCAATGTTTAGATACTTTATATACTGACCAAATATCTTCACTAAGATGATGAAGATATACTTGCTTAGCATTGTCATTGTGAATATGTTAACATGCTCATGTTAGCATTTAGCCCAAAGCACAGCTAAGCACAGCCTTGCAGAGCCTCTGGCTGTAGACTCTTAGTCTTGTTTGGATTGAGAATGACACATACTGTCATTACCCATAATAGTACCTGAGACACCTCACAATGCTAGGCAATCTGCACTTACAAGTGCAATTAGATGGAGTGAGGAAATTAGGAGTGTTGACCAAACAAAGACAAATTAGGAAATAAGATATGAGTTACTGGTATTGATCATAAACCTTATCAGCCCCACACAGATATATATATATAGTCAGATAAAAATCTTGCTTATTGTCCTTCTACTTTTACAACTGTTAGTTAGATCATATGTTGCAGAAGGCCTGGAGGCCAATACCCATTATTATTTCTCATGTTTTATTTTCCTGTAATCACAAAATATTATTTCATGTGCTCAAGAAATGTTTTCACTGCTTTTTATGCCAAGATCAGATAATAGTTATTTCATTTTCAAAGACCTTTGAGAACATTGAAATCGTGACACCAAGAAAAAAAAAAGAGAAAAAACGGATGTATGAAGTACAAGTACTTTTTTGTGAATGAGTAAACACTAAAGAAAGACACGCAGGAATACAGTTTTGCATTGCAGAAAGAGCGTGAGAAAGACCTGGCAGAACATCGAGAGAGGGAACAAAATGTTCCTTGATAATTTGTTTACACCCCTAAACCCAAGATCTTCTGTTCTTCCTCCAGAGTTTGACCCCCCCTCCAACCATACCCCATGTGTAATGGAGGTGAAGACCCTGACAGGAGCCTTCCTCTTCTCTCTGGAGTCTCAGACCACAATTGGCTACGGTTTCCGGTGCATCACCGAAGAGTGTCCTGCTGCCATTGTCCTGCTCATTTTTCAGCTGGTCATTACCATGGTGATGGAGATCTTCATCACTGGCACCTTCCTTGCGAAGGTACCACTAGGGGGCATTACATTTGGAAATTTAAAAATTAATTATTAATTAATTAATTAATATTTTTTTGGTCCTTTTCACACATAATTTTGACCTTTTCTTACTGTACATCCCATTGGACAATTCTTAAGTCAGTATGAACTGTAAAACAAATGAAAGGTTTAATATGAAATTTCACTGTAGAGTTACAACCCAATTATAAAAGCGAACACATTGTATGTTTTTGCTGTGTTCACTTGTATTGATTGTAATAACTTGTATACACTAATTGTTAGGACAATGAACACTTGATGTCACCCAAAACTGGTGTGTTCTTCCCTTAAAGTATCTTTTTTATGCCTGGGAATTTTATGCCTTTAGTCAACAGGGGATGTTACAATTCCTGGCTGGTGCCTTAAACCTCCTCACCCTAATCTGTTCTTCGTCTCCCCACCCAGTATCTTTATTACAGCTATCCGTATTTTTAGCTTTAAACTTCCAGGTTATGTTGATTAATACCATTCTTATCTGTCAAAAACAGGGTTATCTCAACCGTTTCCTTCACACTTGTAGTCTTAACCTTTCTTTTATCTATATGTCCCTGTAATTTCACTACTCACTTACTGTAGGTTAGCTTATCTTGAACAGAGAAAGAGGAAATCCGAAAAGCCCTGTAAATGATTACTAAAGGTTATGTGAAGTGTTTACATCATTAGGTAACAGGAATCATCATATATCCACTTTTACCACGGCCGTGACACGTTTCCCTCCTCTTGTAGGTCGCTCGTCCCAAGAAGAGAGGCGAGACAGTGAAGTTTAGTCAACATGCTGTTGTGTCAAATTATGAGGATCGCCCCTGCCTCATGATCCGAGTGGCCAACATGCGCAAAAGCCTGCTATTAGGATGTCAGGTACGCAAGTTGTTGAAGTTAACATAATGTGAGTTTGTCGCCCTCATCAGTAGTAATTACAACCCAAAATACCTATTATGTGTATCTCATGTGTATGTGTATGTATCTCTGTGTATGCCTTTGGATAGAATTATTGTTGTTTCACCTGATGCCAAATGTATATATACACTGACAGTGACATCCGGTCTATCTTAGAAGGCCATGCAGTGAAGAAAACCTTGATGAGAACCATAAGCTCTTTAAAAGGGCTGTTGAACTGTCAAATATTGGCAAGCATTCATTATTTTGTAGTGTAATAGGCTGGACAATGTCTGTGAGTCACATTTTGTAAATATAATCTGTCAAAGTCCTTTCAATGCTTGCTTAACAGTAATAATCTAACTGGTATAAAATGTAATCAATTACACAGTCAGTTACTGAGCATGTCAATCTGTGCCATGCTCAAGGACACATCACCTTTGATGAAGCTATTGGCCATTGCAGGTATTAAACCTGGGGCCTTTTGGTTACAGGATGCCTTCTGCAACCTCTTGGCTACATTTACTGACTCCATCTTGGCTCCCAGGTGACGGGGAAGTTGCTTCAGACGTCCCTGACAAAGGAGGGCGAGACAGTACGGCTGGACCAGCGCAACGTGCCTTTCCAAGTGGACACGTCCAGCGACAGCCCCTTCCTCATCATCCCCCTGACTTTCTACCACATCATTGATGACAACAGCCCCCTCAGGGCCTGGGCAGCAAAAGGTAGATCATGGCTCTCATGCCAAGTTGTGTGGCAGGTCTGACAAATAAATATCAAGTAGAAAAACTACACTTTCACACTATTTTATATTATTATTGATATTTATTTCACACATAAAGCATACACAGTATAGTAGAAAAAATGCACCAATTGCTGACATTTATTTTAATTATTTCAACTTTAATAATAGAATAGAATATATCAAATACCACAATAGTTTTATGAGGGTTTTATATTAATGTTGACAATTATTACATTTTATTTATTTTAAGTATATTTTAGTACCAACAATCATTTAATGACAAAAGGTATAATATGTTATATTGAATGGTCAGTGTCTTCATTTGAGTTTCATACTGTATGTCTCTAGAGAATAACTGTACGTACATTCGGTATGTTTGTATATGTAGGTGTATTGGTATTTATGGTCATGTGCTGCGTGCTTGGCTGCCTCAGAGTTGGGCTGATTTGGCACTGGAGGAGAGGGTTTCTCTGGATGGAATGTGTGTGAGAGAGATCGCCAGAGACACCCCTCATTAGAGCACAATGCTGTACAGTCCGGGGTGCTGACACGAAGCCTGCACAGATCCACTTACAGCAGCGCAGACCTCTCAGCACTGGAAGCCTCAAAGGCATCAGTACTGAAGGACTCTGAGTGCGGTGTTATTTACACTCACGTAACTCATTTATTGTAGACAGTTTCCTCCTTGGCATTAATTGACACACTTGATTTCCCTGATTTGATCTGATTTGTGATTCTCTTTGTTTCATTTTGTTTCCTGTCATGTCCTTACTTTACCTTTATGCTGTGCTCTTCCTCATCATAACCTCATCATAACCCGCAGCCCTTCCTGTTTTACAAGATTAGTCTCTCTGCAGCTAATCTTGAATTTACAGGTAATTTAACTGTTGCCATATTTAACGGATTACACTACAGCACACATACCATCCATAGCGCTACAGTAATCCCTGTTCTATGTGCCAACTGCAACAGTACCCAGTTCTTGTTGCCAGGTCCCCAGTGTTGCATAATCTTAGTTATTTCCTGTCATGAATCCAGGAAGTGATGCCTTAAAAGCACTCATGCAGAGCACTGAAAATATCTTAGACTGCACATCTGTGTCAGTGTGTGAGCAAGTGAGCAGGTCTTGAGCAAAAGTTAACATTTACAACAAAAGATGTCATTCATACTACCTAAAATCTAATGAAAAAAAAAATAAAAAAAAAAAAGGCAAAACAACAACTTATTTGGTGATTTGGTGGATGTAGGTGATGTACAGTACTCCACCTCTGGCCCAGTGTAACCTAGGGATAGGCTCTGCAGCTCCTTGCAATCCTGCACAGTAATTACGTATCATGGATGGATGGATGAATGGATGGATGGCTCTCCCTAACTGACATTTTAAAAAGTCTGCAGTTCTTGGACATACATTCATGATAATACTCATGACTGAGCACACTTCTGTCCTTACTGATTCTTTGAACAGAGCTTTTGAGCTCCCTGCAACGCTGGCTTTATGTTCTCAACGTGTACAAACTTTCAGGGACCTTCAGCAGGAAACAGCTCGGATAGGAACATTTAATTCTGGCTTCCAGTGCAACAGTGTGTAAATCTTGTTGGCATTATGTGACAGTGAGTCTCAGAATCAGGAAGGCAGAACACTGATGGTCTAAAGGAAAGGGGTCATGGCTGTCCAAACCACTGAGCTAGAATATCAACACATTCCTCTTAACCATAGCTGTATATACATTGCACTTCAGAAGGTTGACGAAAATCTTGCACAGTTTCCACACTGTGAGAAACACCATCGGTTACTCATTTTATTCTATATGTTCTATAGAAATGAAACTCTGTGGGTGCTGCTGTGGGGAATGAAAAAAAAAAAAAGCTTTTGATTTGAGAAAAGTGGTTGATGAGAAACAGGAAGGTAGATGTGTGAGAGGATCAGGTGATGGTAGCAGGTGAAACAACAGCAGAATTAGTGGCTAGCAGACAAGAAAGGTGATCATCACAACAATTTTGCTTTATAAACAATAGTTATAAGTTCTTTACAGCTGTTCAGTTTCCCCAGTAATCTGCAGCACGCTAAAAGAAGAGGGGAATATTGCACTCATCGCAGGGCTGATTATAAATATTGACTCATACTTAGTGTGATACCTAATCACACTTACTAGCTGACTAAATGAATGAATGTCACACACGCTATGAAAATTAACCCCAAAGCAAAACTAAGTCGACAGTCCACAGCCATGCTACCGTTAGTGTGAGTCCGTATTTAGGCAGAGTGATTCGCTAAATGCTAACATCGGCATGCTAACATGCTCACAAAGACAATGCTAACATGCTGATGTTAAGCAGGTATGGATTCATAGTCTGTTAATCGTGAACGTCTGTACAAAATTTCACGGCAATCCACGCAGCAGTCGTTGAGATATTTAGGACCAAAGCGGTGGCCCTACCAACCAACTGACAGACGGACATTACCATCCCTATCCTGCTAGGGATCCTAGGAAGATTACTACATAAATGCAGATGAGCCCTTTGCACCGCCCATAATAGGCCAATATAGAGAATCCCTCAACCGAGTTTGTCGCAGTGTTTACAAGCGGTTGCGAAACCTGGTGTTTTTTCCCCGGTGGGAGCGGTACTGGGTCTGGGTTAGGGTAAGGACTGTTTAGACAGATGACAGAGTCTGCATTCTGAGTGAGGCCTGTTGATGCAGGTGTGTGCTTGTTTGAGTGCATATGTCTTTGTGTTATTGGGGTTGTGTGACGATGAATGTCAAGTATATTCTGCATGTGTTTTTCAACATTTATAACTGAAATGTTTCAGTTATAAATGTTTCAGTTATAAATGTTGAGTCAATGTTCAGTCAACATGCGACAGCTTTTACTTTTGTGTGTGTGTGTTCAAATGAAATGAGTGTTTGCATGTTAGATAAGTGCTTTTGGAATCAGTCTGTAAGTGGGGAGTTTTTTTGTTTTGGAAATTTCAGGATGTGTTTGTGCTTTTGTGCGTGTGCATGTTTTTGTGTGTCTTTCCTTACCCACATATTTGGCTGAATGAATCAATCTGTGACCCAGGCTTGCATTCTTTTTAATCAACTGGGATTTGGCCTCTAAAATACAGCGCAGGCTGAATACGATAATTAAAACCCCTCATGGACAATGGCATGAGAGTACTAACGGAGCTCCATCGAGGCCAAATTATCTGTGATGAAACACTGTTACTTAATTTAGCTCCTTTACGCATATTGACAATGGATCAAATTATTTTAATATGCCATGGGAAAGTATCACTTGTAGTAACCCACAAAGAATTACCACCCAATTTTGCAGTTCCCCATAACTGTTATTAATTGTTTTAGCTCACTGTTTTGGTTTTCTGCACAGCAACATCAACTCTGTCTCCAGATGAACCTGTAGTGTCTGTCGAGCACCAAACACCAGACAGACAAAGATAGCAACTAGCTGTTGTACACCTGGTGTGAATTTAGCTGCTAAAGAACCAGATACTTCCTCATGAGTGTTTGACCTACATTTGTCAGGCTGCCCGACACATGACTTGAATGAGAATATTGCTCTGTGTCTGGAGGTCGTGTAAATAAGCAACTTTTTGCTTTGGAACTTATGTTCCCCATAACTACATTGTGTTTTCATCTTGTTATGCTGCCCCCAAGTGGCCACAAGAAACGATTTCTTTTGATGATTTGATGAGTACTTTTTTTGTCTACTGTTTATTTCTAGTTTGTTGTTAACCTAAGGTCTCCTGTCTCATCCAGGTGGTGGTTGGACAGACCCGGAGCTGGCTGACTTCGAGCTGCTGGTGATCATGAGCGCCACGGTTGAGCCGACCTCCGCTACCTGCCAGGTTCGGACATCCTACCTGCCAGATGAGATCCTCTGGGGCTACGAGTTCCCCCCCGTCGTGTCCCTGTCTCCCTCAGGAAAATATGTAGCCGATTTTGCCTTCTTCGACAAAGTGGCCAAAACCAAAACCGCACCCTTTTTTAAGCACTCCCTGCCACCGAGCCCGCCATCACAGGCGTCCCGTCACCACAGAGGCAAGGAGGATGGGACGGATCCAGAGAAGATGCGACTGGAAGAGAGCTACAGGGGGGAAGAGAAGGGGCGAGAAAGGGGGCGCATTAGAGATAGCAGCCCACTAAGTGTACGTATTAGTAATGTGTGAGGGAAGACAGAGACAGGAAGAAGTAACAGAAAGTTGATGTGAAACTTAGATATGGTAGGCAGGCAGACAGGAAGAAAAGAAAGAAGCTGCTCAACAGAAGAAGTCAAGCTCTCACATGAAAACACCTCCCCCATTTGTACACATATGTGAGTTGTGGAAAGTGAACACCTTGCCACCGTGCCCTCTAACCACACACAGACACACATACCAATATGCTACTGTAACCACTAGTGATACCAAGGGTATTTGTGTGTGCAACCAACTTCAGAGAGAGCACGTTACAAACCCAACATGTACAAATGTACAGCACATTATCAAGTCATCCATTTTCTATACTTATATTAATTTTTCTTTTTTGGAAAGGACTTGATTTACTGTAACTGGAAGATACTCAAACACTGCAAAAAACTCATCAGGTCATTTCTGTCTATAATTTAGCCATAGGCTGGTGGGAATAACTTCTGCGAAAAAGTTGATTTCTTTTGAAAATAGGTTGAAATATCCTCACCACACTTGCAGATGTTTCACCTGTTTTAAGAAAATAAAAACTCTATTACAGACAAATTGACTCGATGAGAGGATTTTTGGAGTGTACTTGAATGTCTGTTATGGATGTTAATCACTGAATCACAGTACTGTTTTTCTTTTTTTTTTATTATTAATAAAATACCTGCAACAGGTGGCGAAAATACTGGAACCATATTATTATTTTTTAATGAAGGATTTTAAAGGAATGTATCGTATTTTATGTACCCAATAGTTTCTAACAACATTGTTACTTGTTGCACCTGGAAATATTATGCTCTTTGATATGAATGTTTTTTCCTTGTTTATTGGGGTAAATATGTTTAGTAATATTACTAAAAGCACTTTAACTTGAAAGAAAAGTGGCATTTCACACAAGGGGAATAACTGAACTAACTTTGATACTTAATGCACTGTAATTAATGATTAAATCTTGTAGTTATGTTTGGGGTTTGTGAGTGAGTTTTTATGCGTGAAAATGGGTAATTCTGTGAGTGTGATAATACTGTTTGTATGAACCTTTTTGTGAACTGCCTTTAAATTTCATGTACAGTATGTGTGTGTTAATGTACCTCTGTACAGTGTATAAAATATTTTTTTCCTATATTCTTCATTTCTTGATGTCCTGACATGTGATACACAACTCCACATTTTCCATATACAATATTGTTCTCAATGCACAATGTTTCTTTCTGTAAAGTACAGTTCACTCATCTTTTTACTGCTGTAATTTTTTTCATATGGTAGTTATGAAAGTATCTGTGGATTGTGCCAATGTGTGTCGAATCAACTGCCTTCTTTTTATTAGATAAATGCATATATTTGGATAAACATCTTAAATTTTCTCTTTCTACGCTACATGGAAATGGTGAAAAATGCATCAAAATCAAATCAAATTAAAGGTACAACTTAAATTCCTTGGTTAATGCTGATAAAACTTAGACTTTAAAGGTCCAGTGTGTAACACTTAGGAGGCTCTATTGAATGAAATATAATATTCATAAGTATGTCTTCAGTGTGTGTTCAGTGTATAATCACCTGAAAATAAGAATTGCTGTGTTTTCATTACCTTGTAATGAGCCTTTTTTATCTACAAAGCAAGCAGGTCCTTTTCTATGTTTCTACATTAGCCCAGAACAGACAAACCAAACATTGGCTCTAGATAGGCCCTTTCATATCTGCACATTTTGTGGCCAACATAGTTTCTTCTATGTGCTTGAAATGGGAGGGTGAAGTCATTGGGTTCAGCAACTACACCAGTCCATTAAGTAAGGGAACGGGGAACATAAGCAAAGGATTACAAAGAGATAGATTGCTAGTAACTTTTTCTTCACTGAAAGTCTTTTTGTTTAATTGGCCCAAAAAAATAAAATCAGTAATATATGATATATATATGATCTCTTTTAAATGTGTCTTCTTAATTCTATGATATAAGTGTCACTATTCAAATGAAATCACCTGCTGCTCTGGACAAGCCCAATGAAAAATGACAGGAAATATTTCTCTATCAGTGTCTGATGAGAGGTTGTTCTTGTTTATACTATAAAGCCTACTGTATATTGAATATGGATCCCTCATAATACTGGAAGCTCATTGGTCTAACTCTGAAAATAAGCACTTTTTATGTGGCTCTTTTAATAAAAGTATCATTTACAACATGTCTATATGTGTGTGCATGAAACAAATGGTGAAAAATAATGTAAACAAAGTCTTTCAATGATGTGGAACACAAAATATAATACTTTCAGCAAACATTAATGCATAGTTACGTTTTATGTCACAAGTTGAACAGAAATAAGAAAATAAAAACATCATTGTGGCATGAGCAAAACACTTGGTAACCCTCCCTTCTTCTGCATTGTAGGCATCAATGGGGATCAATAACTTTCATTTTCGGGAGACTTACACAGCTGCTTAGAAGAACCCATAGCTGGAGTATTTGTAAAGGGTTGAAACTGGCATTTTTAAAAAAAATCGGAGACTGCAGAACTCTTTAGGTGACCAAACTTTTTTTATGATAGGAAATGTAACTATGCATGAATATTCTCACATGAATGAACTCATATTATCACCATCTTAAATGGTGATTATAAAATCTTTACTCGCGCCCCAGTGTACTGTGGGTATGTTTTGTGACCTGCAAGTCCTTGGCTGGGTGGAGTTGAGATAAAATTGAATTGACTGGGAACATCTGTCCAGTGTTTACCAGTGTGTATCTGCCGCTTCACTATCCACCAAACTCTGTCCTTCTTTTCGTTTCTTTGTTTTGCTTTAACTTTTGTTGTTTTACACTGACAACATGCACCACGCAGTAGCCATCATGCACCCTCACACGTCACTGATCCTGACTTCCACACCTTTATTACAATTATTATTGTTAAATTCACTTTGTTAATCCCTTAGTTGGGATTTCTAGGAGGCAGATCAATACATCGTAATATAATACTTGTTGGATCTCTTAGACTGTGAAGGTTTGGTTGAATGAGATGATGGTTTCATTTTATCTTTAGATTTCTAAAAAACTTATAAGACTTAAGTATGCATTGTACTGTATGTACATAAAGTCATAAACTATTAAGACAGGATGTTTGTACCTCGGTTTCAGGTGCAATGCAGTTGTTGACATCTCTTGGAGTGCAAGTCACAATTAGATTGGCTTAGTCTAAACCTGCTCTATTTCCTGCACAGGAAAACCTCACAGTTATTTGGTTGTCACATCGCATTTTGAAACCCAACCAAATGTACAAGTGAAGTCTTAGATCATTGTGGTGTCAAGGTAAGGCTGTATGACCTTTTTTTTTTTAATTACTACAACAGAAAAACTGGTTTACCTGATATTTTGTCCCTCACTTGAGGCAAATAAGGGACAGTAAGGGAAAAACCAGAAACGCTAATTTTACTGTGTAGTGTGGGATGAGGCAAGGTGGGTCGCCTTCAAATGAATTTAAACAAATTATGTCTTAGTTCTCTTTCATTGGAACTTAAGCTGAGCTGCACTCACTCTGCAGTCATTTCCTGCCCTTTGAAAATACATTGACATCTGTTGGCTACAGTCATGGGTTGCTGCATACATCAAAACCATGTAAAAACTCTGTTTCCTGTTTAACAATTTCAGATTCATTTACATTATGTGCGAGGAAGTGAGTGGATTGAAAATGCTTCTTCTCCTGAGTTGTTGGATAATTGCAGGTAAGATGAATCAAAACTTAAACTATTTATGAAGTTTTATCAGTATATAAAAATAAAAACGATTTTATTTTACATCCATGCTTATGACATGTATGTATGTTCTTATCAGGGATTACAGCAGAGGAACCAACGAGGCACTACCGATTGAAAAACAGCTCACTGTGCCTACAAATTGGAAAATCACCGCCATATGAAGATATTCGGTGGCGTTTTAATAATACAGCTGTTGTTTTACGTAACAATGTCACACCCAACTTCAAAAACAAAGTGGATTATAATTTAAGGAACCATTCCTTGTGTATCAACAAACTGACTGAGATGGACAGTGGGACCTATGAAGTTGTAATCACTGATCCTGAGTTTGCTGAATCCACAGAGACCCACAAACTCATTGTTGAAGGTAAGCTTTAAATAGTCATGATGATACAATTTATCTTGCAGTAAAACCTTATTGAACCTTCTTGAACTTCAAAAAAAGGTCTAGTGTCCAGTTTACAAATCACATAAATATATGTAAAATACAGCAGTCCCTATTCATCAGTATTTGCATTACTTTCGGATTATAAAGGTTTCAGTTTAAGGGGTTTTATGTCTTATATTTTACATGTCTGATAAAGAGCATATGGCTTGAACCTCCGTGTTAATTTCCTGTGAACAGAGCTGGCTGCAGACATAGGCAGTAGAGGCAAATATGCTGGGGTAGTGTAGAGGCACACAACGGTTAGGGAAATTACTAAATTCATATTATGAAACAAGTGCTGTTATACATAGATATATAGTGGAGACAAATACACACTTTGAATTATGTTAAATTGTTTCTTCAATCTTTAACCGAGGCCTGTGTAGTTTTTTAAGATGTTGTGATTCCTACTAGCTACCAGATGGCGCCACAAACAACTGATCTAATGACTTTAATTTATCTGCTTGGGTGCAGAAACTGTTCCCAGACCTGTCATCAAGATGTCAGTAATGCACTCAAACCTATCTGCTGGATTTTGCAAGATCACAGTCAACTGCTCCGTCCAGAATGACTGGATGTTGTCCGTCTGTGATGCAGACAGTTGCAGACCATCTCAGACATCATTCAAAAAGGTCAACATCACCATGTCCCCCTTCAACAGATCTGTTGTCTGCAGGGGCAACAACCATGTCAGCACTAGCAGTGTTTATGAAAGCATAGAGACAACTTGTAAGTATAATGTGGTGTTTTAGTAGTAGCTCTAAAGTTCAACGAACTGTTATTCCAAAACATTTTTATATTTTTACTTTCTTGGTTATTTTTGGGCCACCATTTCATCATTTTAATAATTCAGTTGTTATGTTGCTAACATGTTTGTCTATCTCTCCACAGGCTCTAATAAGTCTAATTCTGAACAAGAAGAGACATTCGACCCACTAGTAGTAATAATAATACTACCTATAATGTTTGGAACCCTTTTTTTGTTTATTTTCTGTGTGGCCAAGGGGTACTTTTCAAGCCAATATAATCACCATCAGGTAAGCTGAATTTACTTAGAAATATTTAAATTGATATTTGTGATGTAACTTTGAGGATGTAAACTATGAAGAATATCATAAATTTCATTTTCAGATCAAGACAATTCTTAAAGATGTCATTTTTAATGCTGGGACGTATCTTGTCATAATGTGTGACATTTAGTTTGAAAGACTGAAAACCTTTTACTGCATTATTTCTAGGCACAGACATCTCCTGCTCAGTTAACACAAACCCAGCCAGTGGAGGCACAGCCACAAGCTGTTCTCAGAGTTTCTAGCTCTTCTTCCAGTGATGGTGAGGCATGTTACGAAAACGTGGATGCCGCACAGCCCAGCCAGACCAGCAGCCAGATCATCAGCCCACGAAGTCAGGAAGTAGATACTGTCTACAGCTATTTACAGACACCAAACCCTTCTTTTGGCAAGAGTGATGCCAAAGGCCAAATGAAGCTACAAGAGGTGTCGACTTCACAGTCTGTCACCCTAGATGAGGCAGGGCAGCCAATTGACACAGTGTACAGTGTGTTGCAAAAGACAAAAAATCACTTATAACAATATAAAGATTTATAGACAAAGAGGTGTGAAGCCTGTAGGAGACCACTGTGTGAATACCAGAACCATGATGCAGACATTCATGCAATATTTACTTTGGAGGACACATTTTTACAGATTATGCAATTATTTTGTACTTCATTTTTTGGGATTTGGGATATTTGTTTTCTTTCTGAAAAAAAAGGGATGTATATTTGATATTAAACATAAAAAAATGGAACTGAATTAACCCACCACTGTGACTTAATTTAATGTAACATCCAGTATTGTCACTGGCAGCACAGACAGACAGACAGACAGACAGACAGACAGACAGATATTCCACTTTATCACATATATTTCAGACATGCATGACTTAACCAGGACTCTCTGAAAATATCACATGTTAGTAGTATTGTTACTAGCTGCTTGTAATAAAAAAAAAAAACAGAAACCAGAAAATGTACCGTATTTCAAACAGATATTTAATTTAAGTCTTTCTCACTGAGCTGTCAGGGAAATTCTAAGGGGATCTTCTTCAGTTAACATTATTAGTCTCCACTACACATTCCAGTAGACTGCTTTGCCTGGGGGTCAATGACTGGATCAGTCACGCCCTGTGCAACTTTTTTTATTTTTATTAATGTCATCAACCAGCAGAATGACATGTGCTAATGTGAAAAAATATTTTATGCAATTCAGTCACTGTACTTGTTAGACCCCTGTCACTGTGCAGTTAAAAAAGGCCACTAGGCGGTGCCAAACTACTACATATGGTACATTCTGCAACGCGTATGACCCATCTTTCTTTCTCTGTATTAATAGCTCTGGGGTGAATGTGGTGATGCTGTGTTCCAATTCTTGCTATTACAACTTATCTTTCTCTCTTTGCTTGGTTTGTTTCTTAGTAATCTTAAAAGCACAATGGAACAAATCACATCCAGCAGTTTATTTCAATGTTTTGCTCATTTGATTTGATTTCCCCTTGATTTGTGCATTTGATATCTGTTGGTATTGTGGTAACATGAGGTAAAACAGAGGGACCTTAAACTGCAAATAATCTTCACTCCATCTTACAAGGTTGCAGCCCACATGCCACACGAAGTCCTAAAAAAAACTACTGAAGTGTGGTATTTCTGTTACATTTAGTGACCTAACTTTAACTCACAGGCTGATGCAGGCTGTAGCCGCAGGGCCCCATATGAGCATTGTGATAATACTATAAGAGGAACTGCCCTCAGTGTGACCTTATCTGTGTGTGGAGGCTTTTGAATGAGACAAGGCTACAAACATAACTGCTTACAGGTTAGTAGTGAATATATATACATAGATACAGATGAGAGAGAGATAGAAAGAGTTGAGATGGGAGAACAGAAAATGTCTACCTATATGTAGCAAAGTGTGTAATGTTGTTTATCATGAAAATCTTAATATTATTTAGTGCATGAGCTGCCTTTACTTTTTGATCTTTTATTGTTAAAATATACTTAATATTTTATATAATAATATTTTTGTTCACACTTGAGCATGTCATTATTCAGTTATATCATTGACTGTGGTTAGGTAACCTTTTGAATCTTTTTTGACGTCTCTATTGACTAATAAAAGATATGCCTCCTAACCACAAGGCCATTGGACACCACTCTGAGTTTCGCACACTGTTTCATGGTAACTATGGTTGTTGAATGCCAACAAAATTTGTTTTGTTCTCTGAAATGTACTGAATTTCATCCAATACAAATAGAAAACAGGCTAACTTGGAAATTGGGCACAACTTTGGATCTCTGTATGCCAAAGTATTTAGTAAGGAAAGAAAATATAATGTCTTAATGGTTGCTTATTTCTGTTAGAGAAACCTCTGTTACTTGAGTTCTATCTGAGTCATTTCCTGTGTCTGGGGTTTCCTGTGTCTCAGAATTCCACCAAACAAAAAAACGCAAGATTCTAAAATGATTATGTTCGGGATGCCTCCACTTAGTACCGCATCTTAATTTAGGACGTGAAGATATTTTCAGATAGAAACATCCTTGCTAGTGCAGTTTGAAGGTAGCGTCTCAATCACTTTGAGAATGTGTAATAAAGTGAATAAATGTATTTTTCCTGATAGAAATCATAGGTTCACCAAAAAACACGTCACTGCAGTGTTTGCACTAATTCTCCACAATCAGTTTCTGTTTGACCACTTATTACATGTTGTTTTTCAGATGTTCATAATTGTACAGTGGCGAGTGATGAGGTTTACTGAGGACAAATTCTTGTCATGTCAGGACAATTGGAGGACAATGAATGAATCCAGATGCATCATAGGCAGTACCCAGCAGAGTACACTGCTGGAAGTAGATAGGACCTTTCATGTTTTTTGCAAGTGTTGTGGCCACCGTATTTCTCCTATATGCTTCGAATAGGAGGGTGTTGTAAGCAGTAACTAGACCACTAGATGTCACTAAATCCTGCAGCTTCCAATGGAGCACCCAACACCGGAACCCTTCACCTCACCATCAGGTTTTTCAACACCAGCACAAGCATGCTTCATAATCCAGGGCAATTCTTTGTGGATTTATCTGATTATGTTACCAGGGAAGTAACATGAACCAGCGCTCCGTTTAGTGTGATATGAAGATTGGAACTGCAAACATGAAATCATACTCAGTTTGTATTGAAATCACCACACAGGAGGTGATTATGGGTCAGCATGCAGTTCAATTGTCAGTCACGTTGGGTAACTACTACATACTACCACTAGGTGTCAGAAAAGTTTGAATCTGACATCTGTTACACACGTCTATGGCCTTTTAGAATGTTGACTATTTCTAAGTTTATCTGTTTCATATGTGATTGTTATTGTTGGTTGTGTGCCATTTGTTTCCAGTATATTTCTAGATCACACATATTTATAAAAATAAATAGTCGTTTTACTTGTATCACTCTCTGGCCATGCTGCTGCAGACTGTGAAATATACAGTATGTGGAAATTCCCTCTCCTTCTCCATTTTGTGCTTAATGCTGCTGTACAGTTGTGAAGAAACACAAGCACATACCGCAGTCTTTTTGTTGTTTTCTTCCAGGTCTGTAAAGAGATCTGTATGGACAAATACAAATTGAGTTTTTAATTGCTTCTTTGACCAGACAGCAGTGGTTTCGGTCAGGATATGTGGATGTGATTCCAGCCAAAGAATCAGTCCGAGAAGATCCTCAACCCAATAAGTTTTATTGTAGGAATTGCAGTGGACAGAGATATACATGCAAATACTTGGATGGCCATGTTTGTGTGGTTGACAATATATGATATATAATTACAAACTTCCCATACTTGCTGAATGAAAACACGAGAGAAAGTTGTCTTCGTAACAAACAGTAGGCTTCTCCTCCTTTACTCTAGTGATGGGAATTCCGGCTCTTTTTAGAGAACCGGCTCCTTTGGCTCGGCTCACTAAAAAGAGCCGGCTCTTTCTGCTCCCAAGTGGCTCCTCATATTTTTTTTTGCTTAAATTAATTTATTACCAAATTATGTGTAAAATGAATATCTAATGTAAATACATGCATTATATCAAATGTTTAGTATTTATATGGATTTATTAATATACTCAACATGGAACAGAATGCTACAAAGAAATTATAAAATACAAAAACAAAGACCCATCTTAATTAGACAAAAAGCTGCTTGATATGAAATGTTTAACTTTGCACAGTCTACACTCTGCCTTTGAACTATCACATTAAAATGTGTCCAAACTTTACTATGTTTCCTGTCACTCATTTTCCTCACCCTTTCCAGTGTGTAGTCTCTGTCTATGTAGCGCCAAGGTCTCTCGCTCTCACATCTCCCTCCCACCGGTTCACATGCTCACTGTGCCGTGTGTGTCTGTAACCCCTCCCTCCCCCTCCTGCTCAGTGTAGATACACAGATGCCGCCACACATCTTGACCAATCACACGGCTTTAACAGGAAAAAACGGGAAAATCTGGAAAAAAAATCCGGATCTGGCTCCCAATCAGGAGCCGGCTCCCATCGTTCACTTCAAAGAGCCGGCTCTTAGAGCCGGATCGTTCGCGACCGACCCATCACTACTTTACTCCTCAGCTCTGTATTCAGTGAGTGCAGATTGTCATGATGTCATCGCTCATTAACAGGACTGGGCAGGCTTTCTCACATGCTACATTATCAGTTATTATCTACGCAGTGCATTGACTCAATTCTCAGTTCTAAGTCTTATCGTTCATCCAGTAGAGTGTATGACCCCTCTTTCGCCTTTGCCCTGGTGTGAATGTGCAGTGACACTTTCAAAATTCTTGTTGTTACAGCAACACAATGTGTGAAGACGAAATGGAAAGTTGTTTATTTTTTACTCACTTGTGTCTTCTCAGGCTCTAGTTGCAAAGTAAACTGTGTAGAACAATGTAACAAAATACATACATCTTTTAAGGTTGCAGCCCACAGGCCTTAAAATAAATTTGGAAAACATTAATTATAGCTATTATAATCATCATTATGATCAAACATATGCACACACAACACACACCCTCATCACAATACAGGCACTGGGGATGCTGTAGCAGTGGCATATACTAAATAACATGCACAAAGAAACACAATTAAATGTTAGTCATATGATGCCATTAAATATAATGGCATTATGTTTAGTGAATGTGCAAAAAATTACTTTTTATTTATGATTTTATTTACATTTTTAAGCACCAGGAACAAACCTTTGTGTAACAGACAAGCTGATATTTCAGTGGGCAGGGAGTGTGAACAGTGTGCTGCGGGTGTCTGAGCTTTGTGTGAAAGGGAAGGAAGCTCAGACAGGCTATACTCAGTATGATATGTTGGAGAAAAAGATCTGCTCTCATATTTGTGTTCAAGGAATAATTTCTCTTTCCTCACTCTCTCTGCTTTATTATTGCAAGCTAGAAGCAGCAGAGCGACAGTGTCGGTGCTGGATGTGAAGATGGGGCACACTTTGCTCTGTGTGCTGGGATTATTCTGTGAGTACGTCAGGCAAACTCGTGTTTTCATCAAAATGGTCATTTTGTAGCCATGATATTTTTACATGCATTTGTGCAATGCTTTCACAGTCTATGGTTTAAAGTATAATGTATATAGCTTCTGAATTGAATTTACTGTTGACTGTACTGATATATACAATTATTGTTGCCACTCAAATAGAAACTCTTAGCTGACGAAAATAGTTGCCACTCATGAAACTCTAGCTGGATTTTAAATGTCTTTCATTTTTGTCTGATGAAGTTTTAATCTTTATTTTAGTGCTGAATACACTCCCCTACGGACATGCTGAAGGTGACCAACTGTCTTCTTTCTGTTTTTAATCAAAGAATTTGAAATTGTATTCATAAATATCTGGCTGAATACAATATTAAAAAAAGTGTGATGGCTTATATATATTGTTTCGTTAAATATATTTAAACATTTGGAGAGTCTGATCTCAGATGAACATCTTTCCTCCATTATCTCCGTTTGTAACTGGTGCAAATGACCTTTTAGGGTAGAGGAGTATGGTGCGCTGACCTTTTAAGAGTTTGGCACCGTTATTGTTACATGGTATCTTAAGTTATCTTAACTCTGCATTTGTAAATTTACGTGTATGTTTTGTGGCTTGATGTGACATGACTCTCATCGCTTTTAAAGCACCTTGTAAGTTCAGTTTCAGAAACATTCTATGCAAGTTTATTAACAGTTATTATTTATTATTATAGCAGTGTCCAAGCCTGAAAGCTCTTCATTTCTGGTACCGTTGATTGTTGGGCTGGTTTGTGGAACCGTACTCATCATTCTTCTGCTCCTTCTGTATTGCTGCAGAAAGTCTAAGGGTGAGACCTTCTTGTTCTTTTATTAGATGTTTCATGGTTTAATGATTCATATTCAGACACATGTATTTTGACCTCATGAGACAGAATAGCACTATAACAACCTCCAATACCAAACAATGTAACAACAAATGTCTTTTCTTCACAGGTTCATGTTGTATCAGGTTGGTTCAACACTCTCGTCTCTCATTTTGAACATAACAACAATACATTTCATGTTCTTATTTAAATGTGTTGTATTTGCTTCATGTTGCAGATCAAACCAGTCTGAGAGCATCAATCAGGGTGAGGCTCAACGTGATGTATACTCCTCTCTTCTCCACGGTAAGCATTAGAACTAATCATTTATGTGTCTGCATATCCTGTAAATCCTTGGAACCACCCTTGACAATAAACTAACTTTGATCATTACATTACCTCTGAAATCTATGGTCTCCCTACTCCAAACCTCCCAGCCCTCACTGACACTGCCATCACACACATAGCACACGACCATTTGTCACTCTACTCCCATCCGGCCGCAGATACAGATCTCTGATCTGTAATGAAGTACACTACAAGAGCTTCGTGCCCGCTGCCATCACTGCCCTCAACAAACAGTATCAGTAACACAAAACAGAGTCATGTTCTTGTGAATGTACTGTGTTCCCTGCGGTTGTTTTTTTGCCTTTTGTGTTACTTAATGTCAATATGTATAAACACACACATTTTCAAAATATGTTTACTTATGTCTACAAACTAAGTGATTAATCTGACCTTGGCGTGATTTTCATTGCTCTGTAGGTGACGCTTCTCTCTATGAATCAATGAAACGCCCACAAGGCAGTAAAAACGGTACAGTACACACCTTTATATTGATATGCCACTGCAAAAATGCCATGTCAAATGTGAGTGAAAACATTATGTAAAGAAGAACATTCAACACTACAGCTGACTTCTTAAACAAGTCAGGTGTGGAGGTGGGTGTGGTTTGCACTCAGCTGCAGGAGAGAGAGAGAGAGAGAGGTGTGGGGAAGGCTTGTAAGACCAGCGTGTGATTGCTCCATGAGTACTAGCTGAGATGATCAACTCACCTGGCGCAGCTCTCACAAGCCTTCCCCACCCCCCTCTCTCTCCTGCAGCTGAATGCAAACAACACCCACCTCCACATCAGGATTTCCAGCTACAGAAGAGGAAAACACTGACTGTGTATAGAGACAATGCAGCACATTTGAGTATACTGACAACTGCTGTTGCCACTTCATTTAAATTAATTACTCAAATCAACATAGAAATCCTAGTTTCACCAAAACACTACACTTTGTTGCAGTGCACTAATCCTCAGCAAATTAAAAATGAAGCAGAGGGATGTTTGCATTGTGGCATTGTCAATCTTAAGATCACAGTGCTCTGTTTGACCCCTCATTATGTTGGTTTTCAGATTTTCGTTCATCATTGTCTTTCACAGCGCGTCCTGACAAAGTGTCTGTCTCACTGAACGGCGAGGGAAACTGGAGAGTGAGGTTTACTGAAACCAGCTCCCGGTCATGTCGCTCCGACACGCAAAGCTACCGGCAGAGTGATGCAGTGAACATCACAATACAGAGTATGGTTTAATTCCATTTTCTATTTCTTTTATGAAAAAAATTGCTATTTTTAGAGTAAAAGTTGCTCACCGCTGTCTTAACTCCTTGTTTTTGAAGATTTCTGTGGACCCATATCCTTCTGATTTTCTTTTTGTGTCTCAGTATTATCAATATACATTCTCCTGTTTAGTTGCTAACACAGCTGGAGCACGCAGTGCATGCTGGGGGCCACTGTTTACACAATGTTATCTTTCATCAGTGTGGATGCTCACATTGTTATTGTTGCATTGATCTTGGTGTGGATGACACTGCAGTCTTGTTTATGAACATTGTAAAAAATATCAATATAGATAATGATGGAATGACTTAGAAGTTGGTCCTTTTTCATGAATGTGTCTACATCATTTAGTCTGCAGCCATGTCACACAGTCCTGTAACACATATGCCCCTGTTGTAACTAAAGCTAAAGATAACTCCAAATAAGATAAAAGTGTTAATTAGGACAAGGTAAGTGACATTTAATTCAAACATTCTTGCATAGTCCACACTATGAAATGTAAAGATTATCTCTTACTTAGAAATAGTGTTTTTTCAGTGGCAGTTATAAGTGCATGGTTTAAGGGGACTGATTACAAGTGATTGATATAAATCCTACTAACTTAAAAAAAAATGTATATTTCAAATGCAGATGAATCTCAAGATGTTGCATATTCTTCCACCGAACTTAAAAACATTTGAAAAAGGTGAGTACTAATTGTTTTGGCCTGAAGTGTATAAAAGTATTGATTTTTATTTTTATTTTATTATTTATGCATTCACCTGATTGTTTTAACAGGAAACAACATGAACCAGAGGAGAGCTCTGTTTACTGCGATGTGACAACAGGAACTGCAAATACAGTCAGTCCCAACAGTCATGCTCAGTTTGTGTTGAAATGTGTCACATCATTACACAGGAGGTCATTCAGTGTGCGGTTCAGTTAATGTCAGTCACTGCGGGTAGCTACTACATACTACCACTGGGTGTCACCAGACAAATTCTACACATGTATACACTGTATACACTGTATGTGGGCCTTTTAGACCTTTTGAGTTTGTCTGTTCCATATACAGAGTGTGATGACTGCTGAGGCATATTTCCATTTACTATTGATACACTGTATTAGTATTTTTGTATTGTATTTTATTTCATTAGTTTTTACAATTTTTGTATAATACTTTGAATGGGAGTTGTCAACTGTTAGCAGTTGGATTGGCTTTTCATTTTCAGGTGACTGTGCAGCTTTAAAGTCAACATATTTTTCAGTGTTTCAATGATTACTTTATTATATGTAAAGATCTGCTGTCAACATGTACCCGTCTTATTTTTTACAAATGTATTATAGCGACCGTAAATATTTTATTTCCCTCCAAATAGATTTCTACTTACTGTCTTAATCTGTATAAGTGACAACAGATATTTAGGACATATTGTTGATCATTCTTTTGTTTGCCTCTTTTATGGTTACGGGTTATGTTGTATAGTACAGGTTATTTCCTGTTTTATGTTGACAGTCCTTCTTTATGTGTCTTGTGTAACCTCACTTCCTGTCTTTGTCTGTTTTCCCACCAGGTTCGATTGTCTGGTCCGCCCTGATTAGTTTCACCTGTAGTTATCCTCCTGTTTGTGTGCGTTTCTTTGTCTTAGCGCCAGTTTGTATTTGTCAGTCGGTGCATGCAGCCCTAGATATTGAACTCTGACTGTATGATTAACTCATAATTAAAACTTAAGCACATTGTACCTCGACTTTTGTTTAGATAACATTATCACCCATTATCAACCAGCAACACACTTTAAAAAATACAAAAAACAAAACATGAATGTCAGTCAGTCAATATACCTGTTAGAAACGTTTCCAATAAATGACCACCAGGGGGTGCTGAACTACCCCACTGCTTTTTAGTCTGCAAGTAGAGCTGCTCTATGGTCAGGGTGATGATAAGCCACGTTCTCAAAAAGCAGTAGTACTCCATTTTTTTTAATAAAACAAAGTCTTCCTCTTATTAAATTTATGCCTGTTCCTAATACTCTTTCATATATCTTTGACTTCTTCACAACTAAACATATTATCCTGCTTTGCTCCATTCCCAGGGTTCATTTCCTGGTAGCGATGTGTTCCAACAAAGCACAACTGACTACTTAGAGTTTATACATATATATATATATATATATATATATATATATAAAAAATGTATTATCTTATTCTCAGATTTTTCACAAATTCTGTATTCTGGCTTTGTCTGTTGTCATCTTTAAGTTCAGAAACATTCATAATTTCATTGTATTGAAAACATTCTGTCACAGAAATAGTGATTGTGAACAGGGCTAGGCAGGCTTTCTGACATGCTATATTATTTATATCTATGCATTCATTGTACACACCCTTCAGAGAACCCTCTTTTCTGTGTATTAACACGTTAGCTCTGGTGTGAATGTGGGGATGACACTGTCTATCACAGCAACACATCTATGTGTAAAGAGGAACTGCAGGTCGTTTGTTTTGCACTCATACTGATAAGCATTGGCCTTTCTTCTTCCTTCTCACGCTCTTTTTGCAACATAGTAGCACAATGGAGAAAATCACACGCAATGGTTTATTTCAGTGTTTCGTTCCTTTCGTCTAATGTTTATATCTGACCTCTGTTTTAGATTAATATCTGATGAGAACTTACTGGCAATCTTTTTAAATCTGCCAAAATAGATTAATTGGAATTTTGCTTCTTTAAAGGTGCAATATGTAAGATATTACACATCACCAGAGTAACCACTAACTGTAAATGCTGTTAGCTCAGTTATCCTGTTAGAGGCAGAGGAGACCCAGCAGGAAATGCTGGTGGGGTGCGCCCCCTTCTGGGCCTCTCTTCAATGCCCATCCCACTAACAAATATGCATAAAGAGTTCTGTATGCTGTATGCTATTCATAATAGGCTTCTTTCTGATATTTTACATCAGGTATTCATTTAAATCAATGTATACTGATGTTGAAAGAGAAGAACAAATGCATGGCCAGTCACTTTGGACTTTCTGTGGCCCCCTCTTCTAGCTAGCATGTGTTGCTCTTACACAATCTACTGAAGTGTTTTGGTCTTGCTTCATATTGGTATTTTAATATATATATAATAATTAAAACAGACCTCTTCACAAATGAATGCACAGACAGACAAAGGCTTTAGCCTCAGGGCCCACATGTCCCAATGGTTAAGTTATCCTTTATTGATCCCTGTAGGGAAATTCAGCCTCTGCATTTAACCCATTGTATTAGGAGCAGATCTGAGCCAGTGCCTTGGCCAAGGACACTGACTCGAGAATAAACATACATGTTTTGATGGTGGGGGAAACCTACGTAAACATGTTAACTCCACACAGAAAGGCCCTGCGAGGATGTGCATTTTGATAATGCTGTACGAGGGACTGCCCTCAGTGAGACCTTATCTGTGTGGAGGTGTTTGAATCAAAACAAGGCTACTGTGAACCATAAATTCAACAAAAAGCTTTTATTTTTATTTGATGTTCTTATGATCTTTAAAACATTCTGCTGTGTTACTGTCGCTGTCCAAGGTGCTGATCCTGGGACCTCCGGGAATGTTGAAGCTGTCCCGGGTAATGACGCCTGTTGTGTCTAGAATAAGACGTGTTAGAAGCGTTTATCTGTCTACAGCACAGTTTTAAAGGGGACATCCACAGGTTATACTCACTTAGTAATCTCAACAGGGAAAATTTTATGTGAAAATACATTAATTCTTCATCTTAAATCATAAAGTTGAACTCCACTGGAGTGAAAAGTATCCCATCATCCCAGTACAGAATCTTTACATGTCTCCTCCTCATGGTGTTGGTGAAATGTTCCTCGTGTGTCCCATTAAAAGTACTGGTGAGAGGGCCTTCTTATGCCCATAACTGTGGAACTCATTGAGCTCGCTCTGTATTTTTAAAAGGTAATTAAAAACCTAATAATATTTTAATCTGGCTTTTAATTTGGAGCAACATTATAGGTTTAGTTTTTATGTTTTGACAACTATTGACTTTTTATTTATTGTGGTTTTACATTTTATAAGTTTTATTGTATTTTTGTCTTGCAAAATTGTATTTATTGTTCATTTTTGTCTGTTGTGTCAGTGTTGCTATGTGAAGCACTGGGCTGCATGAAGGGTGTTGTATGAACAAAGTTAAAATGGTAAAATCTTGGTTTCAAGTTTGGCCATGACTTCACCCACAGGAAGTGCCTAAGCTTGGGTGAAACGGAAATGGTCTCATGAACAGAAGTGCGTGTGAAAAGAGCCAGAGCACGTTGTTTTTAATTCCTCATCTCAAAGCTCATCAAGAGAAATGGGAGGCGCCTAAATTCCTGAATGCACACATACACTCATTGCAGTACAGGCACTGCTGATGAATAGAGTACAAATACTGAGTAACATGCACAAATGAAGAATAAAAAGTTAATATATGGTGTGATATGATTAAGTTCAATGGTGTTGTGTTTCACAGATTTGAAATAATTGTTTATGGTTCATGTCATTTTTAATTTTAATATTTGTAGTAAGTGAGTACAAACCTTTGTACAACAGAAAAGCAGATGTATGTTTTTTTCAAGTATGCTGTGGTCAAAGCCACTGCAGTTTGAGTTTTGTGAGAAAGGGAAGGAAGAACAGACTCTTCTGTTTCTCTTTCTCTCTTTCTCTCTCTGCTTCATTAACACAAAATAACAGAGTCCAGTAGAGAGTACAGTGATTCAATCAGTATCAACAAAATTGAGTTTGATATTTGATTTTGAAACAGAATTAAAAATAGAAAAAAAAACTATTTATGTAATTGAATTGTTGTTCTTCAGAAGACCTCTGTACAACACTATAATTCAGTCATGTGCTGGTCAAACACAAATCAACAATAAAGAAAGGGTTAGCTGTCACCATCAAAGTACTAAGCATTTTGTAGAATCATGTAATAAATAAATGAGCATGACAAATGTGAGTCCAATGTGTTTTTCTATCAAAATGAGAAACTGATTTAAAATGATACCAGAAGGGAGCTGAATTGTCAAGCTGAAGTGTCAAAGTCAGATGAGGTTTTCTACAAGTGTGAATACTCACAACAAGTGTCAGCACAGAGTTGGATGTCAGTTAACAGTGAGTAGGATTAAAAGATTTTCTGCATATCCAGCTACCAAAAGTCTTAAAACTGGATGAAATTATTTAAAATAATATTGTTAGTATTCCTTTTTCTAGATAACAAAACTCCACACTGGCAATGTCCATACAGAGCTTTTACCAACCAGATTTTTAACCTGCAATCTTCAAGTTGGGAGATGTGTGCTAACTATTGAGCCATGCATGATTTTTTATGGGTGATTGACATAAAATCAAAAATGTATATTTCAAACTCAGATGAATCCATGGATGCTTCGATTGCACTTAAAAAATTTTGAAAACAAGGTGAGTACTCCAAATAATTGCAATAAATAGACAATAGTTTTGAGATGTTTTGGCCTGAAGTGCTACAAGTTATTGCTTTTTTCTGATTATCTTAACAGGGAAGCAACATGAACCAGAGGAGAGCTCTGTTTACTCTGATGTGAAGATAGGAACTGCTGTCATGCTCAGAGATTGTATTGAAATCATCAGACAGGAGGTCATTATGGGTTAGCATGCAGTTCAATTACATATGTCACCTTGGGTAGTGACTACATACTACTACTAGGTGTCAGTTTGAATTGTTACAATGTTGTGATTGTTATTGTGTGTGTAATTTTTTTCCAATATATTTCCATCTGTATATATAGCTGTATACTTTGGTAAATGCTACCTCATAAATGTGAATGTGCCTTTTTGTAGTTTTCTTCCAGGTCTGTAAAAAGATCTGTATGGACAAAGAAAAAAGGTTGACAAATTGTACATTTTGTATAAAGCTTTGAATGTTTGAATCAAACAGTTTCAACCTTATTTCTTCAGCTTCACAAAGTGAAGTGCTGCAGAGAAAAGTGTCCCATCAGCCCAGCACAGAATGTTTACATGTCAACACATAATGGTAAAATCTTACTTTCAAGTTTGGTCATGACAGCACCCACAGGAAGTGACTGAGCCAAACTCCCACGAACAGAAGTGAATGTGAAATGAACCAAAGCACATGTGTGTTTGAATTAGTCTCTGAGAATTTATCCTATCAAAGATTATCAAAAGAAATGGGAGGAACTTGAACTAAATCTCATAAGAAAGGGTCTGAATACTTTTGTCAATGTGATATTTCAAGTTTTCTTTTTTTTCCATTGGCATTATGGGATATTGAGTGAATGAGGGAAAAAGTTAATAAAAACGGCTGCAACATTATAAAATGAAAAAAGGTAAAGGGGTCTGACTCTGAATACTTTCTAAATGCACTCTTTGCAATACAGGCACTAATACAAGTACAGTTGGAATATACTGTATAGCATGCACAAATTAGCAATAGTATTAATAGTAATAATATTAGTGTATTACTTTTATCAATGTATTTATTACGTTTATGACATTTTTTAATTTAATATTTTTAGGGACCAGAAACAAACCTTTCTACAACAGACAAGCTAATATATCTTTTCAGTGGGCAGGAAGTGTGAACATGTCAATGCGGTCAAAGCCACTGCAGTTTGAGTTTTCTGTAAAAGGGAAGGAAGAACAGGCTATACTCAGAAGGAGGAGTTGATGAAAAACTCACATTTATATGAAACGTAACTTCTCTCTCTCTGTTTTATTCTTGCAAAGTAGAAA